GTCGAAAGCAGAGTGGTCATGACCGCTTGCGACGCTGATGGTCCTAGGATGTGGGAGATGATGCTGTGTTTGAGGGCACTCTTCACACCATCAGACATTCGTGGAACACGCATGTTCGTCTGTCCAAGACTCGCCTGGAGACCTTTCAGCAAGGCGTGGTAAGCACAATCCCCATCTCCGGCAACTTCGTGCGCTTGAGCTTCGCGCGGGGGCGTAAAGGTGCGGCGGGATTTCCGTCTCTTGATAATGCAGGTCACCTTGGCAAGACTGGACTCAAACCCTGCCTTGTTGGCCGCGTCACGGCCGAGGCGGTAGGCTTGGGGCAGGAGCTCTTGGGGTGTGCACACCCCCGTAACTTCGACTTCAGGTTCGGGGCGAAGAGCAGCAGCAGACACGGCAGCAGCAGCAGCAGCAGCAGCAGTAGCCATGATGGTGCGGGGGAGAAAAGCCGCCAGCAGGGCGAAANCAGGAAGAGTAACAACACTCTTATCGACACTCAGGAGGGGTGTAGTCACAAAAAGGTTAAGGACTCGGCCATAGGAACAGGTGCTCAGTTCTGACGTGACATAAGAACAAGAACCCATATCGAGGTGTCCAAACTCGAGATCAAGATAAGAACGGGGGTCCATTGCAGATCTTCGCTGGAAGGCAAGAACTTCGGCGGGTAGCGTCACCCCCGCCCCCCCGTCCCAGTATTTTTTTCCACAACAGAGGGTGGGTACCGAAAAATTAGCGCACCAGGAGGGTTATTGTTGTTGTTTTTCTCCCATCATTGGACTCTGTCGTCTGCCCCTCTGGCCCCTATCCTCCACTTCTACTAGCTAGCAGTGCTGCACGTCGAATAAAAAAAATAAAGTGTGAGACATAACGCCTCGGGCGGGAACCCATCCCCTGCTGAAACCCCTCGATTTCTTGCGCAACAACTCAAGACCTCGCCTCCCACGGCCGGCTTCATGGGGCGCAGCAGGGCTGGGAGCGTCGATATTCCGGCTGAGATAGGTGAAGTAGCTATCTGTCAACCGTGCAGCCTTTGTTTTACAGTCGGGGCTAATCCGTAGGGGTAGATTTCCAGTTTTTCTCAGGGCGTACCACCGTAGGACAACTCGGAAATCTCCGAGTAAGGGTTGGATCTGCTGGAGTCTCTCCACGAGTCTATCGTGTTGCAACAAAATGTCGCCAACATCATGCACTCAGGTACTGCTGACATCTTTTACAAAAGGTTTGGAGCGATTTGACCCGTCAGAAGATAAGCATGTTGAGATCAAACTTCAATATTGTTGCGCTATGCTGGAAAGATCCGAAACCCAGGTCTGCATACATGCACCGCAGCACAGCAGATTGGGTTGTCTTAAAGTAAACATACACTACACATGTCAAACTGCTGTGGAAATATCAGAAAGAATGCGGCGGGATACGCTCACTATCTGTCGACCTAAAGGGTCCATGGTTTTTGGTGATCAAGAGAGGGTGGAAGCGACTTTTCTGAACCCCAGACCAATCGAAGTTGACGTTCGAAACGAACGCATCTTTGTGGATGGTCCGCGATACTTCGATACTGTACACGAACTAGACCCCCCCCCTGATTTGTACAGTATTATTTGGATTATTTTCGATACTCCTGAAACGTTTTGAGCAGTATCCTTCCAGGTACGAATATATACTTGATTTTATGGTTAAATATGGAGACACACGCACCTGACTTTGGGATGGGATGCCATGAATGACTGTCTGAGTGTCATGGTATCTATTATCTATACACTACGGATAACGCCGAGTTAATTACTTCTTTTTGTGCGCATTAAGATTTCATGGTATCCTTGGCCTAGGGCCTGTACGTAGAGGGAGGATCGAACCGACGCGCGATGAGGCGTAGTAGGAGTAGCGGGCAGCGGGGGGGGGGGAGCGGAGACAAGTGCCATACAGAGCAGACCGTGACACCACCTGCGTCTCCTCGCCCTGAACCAAGACGTGGACGGACATGCAGTCCCGTCGAAGGAGAAGCCTCACTAAGGAGGACGCGCCACCCACGTAGTCGCCGCCCACGAACTCCGTCGAATCCTGTTAATGGTAGCAGCGGGGGGGGGTCTACGGCTACTTGTCAACGGGGAGGCGGCCTGGGCACCGCCTCCGCAGAGGCTACACCCGCAAGTACGCCTGGCGTCGCAACTAAGCGAGTGGCGGGATCCGGCGCGCGTGGTCGAGATCCGGGAAGCCGTACAGGATCCGGTAGGAAACGCAGAAAGAGACGGACGCTGGGGCAGAGGCGGCGAGCCGTCTTTGAGGGGAGAATGGCAAACGAGGAGTACGGTGAGCAGCAAAAAGGAGGCGAGGCAACAGGCTAAGGTCCGCAGAGAGCGAGAGATTGCCGAAGCTGAACGTGAGAAGCTGGAGTCTGGAGGCAAGCGGGCAGTTGAATTCCGGCGTCGAAGTTGCGGTGGAAACCTTGTAACAGCTGGCTCTCGCTCCGTCAAGCGGAGTGCAGCGCGAAGACAGTCTGATCCTGGAGTTACGAATACTCAGATCGGAGCCGAGAAAAATACACTCAAGAAACCTTGTAGGCGTGCGGAGTGCGGTTGGTTCATAAACAACCCGGGTCTCGAATGCAGCGTGTGCCCCTCAGGCGTAGTGAACGCCGTCAGTGACAAGCTATGCTCCGCATGCCATAGGTCGGAGGGCTTAGCTGGCTTCACGCACCTCAGAGGGCCACGGCTTGAACGAGCGACACGGTTGTTTTTGGCCGAGTACCAAGAAGGAGAGGGGGAGCTGCCTCTACCTCTCGTGCGAGGATTTTGTCCCAGCAACGACTGCATTTGCCAACGCCGAGATTGTTTCTACGGTTTTCTTCTCGAGAGGGAAGCAAAGCCGGAGCTCCGAACATGTAGCGTGTGCAAGAGAGGGTACCCTGTGAAGGACCAGAAGAGGTGGTACAGTGTGGACGTCGTGGATGATAACATAACGGAGGGTGGTGGTGTGAGCTTGGTACTGCCAGGCCTGCAATCAAGCTCGAATCCGGGCCATCGGAGAAGCTACTCAAAAAAAGGTTGCGGCATCGAGCAACTCGGGCCGACCTAAAGCCGATGAACCGGCGCCGGAGAAGCCGTTCAGCCGGGTGCGCGCGTTGGTGATTAAAGCCGTAGCTCGCGGGGACATCCTTTACTGGGAGGATGTGTTCGACTGGCTCTCAGCTGAGCGCGCAAAGGATGGTGACCAAGAACTTGAGCGTAGGAGCGGGCGGAAGGCCGTGCGCCAGATGTTCGAGAGCATCGCGAGCGCTGATGGGAGCCAAGCGCGGGTGGTCAGCAGCGAGGGGGGCTTTGGAGACGGGCGCCAACGACTACTGTGTCTCTTCCCGGTCAACGCTCGGGACGAGGTTATCGCATCCCTCGCCGTACGGGCGCGCCTGGCGAAAACGTTCGATGGTACGAGCACGCCCGCAAACGCCACGTCCGGTGGAAATACGTCCCTGCAGATAGTGAGGCGTCTTCTTCAAGAAGCGAAAGAGGCAGACGCGAGGATGTGGATCGTGCGTGCGGCGGCGGAAATTGTTCGGGCCGATGTCGATCAGCATCCAGATCTCAAGAATGCCCGCATCCGACGGCAAAAGCACAAGTTCTGCGTGGAGTTGGCCGCACCCGTGAAACCAGTGCGAGATGCCCTAGCTGAGATGCCCCCGACATTGGTTGGACTCTTTCAAGGTATGACGAACATGCCCCTGTACCCCGAGATTACCGATATAGGGAGTGAGGATCCCGGCCGGGGCTGGGCGTGGGATGAAATAAAAACAGACGGTCCACAGCCAAGCGCAGCGGGGAGTGTACGGCGAGAGGATGATGGGAGCGATGGAGCCGACGCGCNAGACGCGCTTGAAAGAGCCGTCTGTGAGCGGCAAGCCCCCACTCGCGATGCCACCGGGCAGAAGACGTGGATTCTGTTGGGCCGACTTCCGAGGCAGCTTCCACTTTCATCGAAAAAAACAACCAGGATAGGCGAGGCTTCGCACGGCGTTTGTACATGCTTTGCAAGTGCACGGTGAAGGTGATTTTTCCTGGTCGACACTTGA